AATCCTTCCTACCCAGGAGCAGGGGATGTCTGTCCATTTTCTGATATCATCTTCAATGTCTCTTTTCAGAGTGCCATAATTTTCAGAGAAGAGGTCTTTGATTTCTTTCATTAGGATGATTCCTAGGTATTTCAGTTTTTTGGATGCTACCAATAGCTGTTCTTACTGCGGTAAGATGATTTCTCATGGTGGTTTTAGTTTGCATTTACCTGATGATTAGTGATTTTGAACATTTTTCCATATACCTATATATTGAGCATTAGTGTGTCATCTTTTTAGAAATGTCTATTTAGGTCTATTGCAAATTTTTCAATGAGGTTATTTTGCCATTAAGTTTTTGGCATTTTGTAATCTTCAGAATATTTACCCCTGTCAAATGTATAGTTTCTAAACATTTTCTCACATCAGTAGGCTGTATCTTCACTCTGTTGTTTCTTTTGCTATACAGAAGTTTTAAAATTTGATATTAATTCCACTTGTCTATTTTTGGTTTTGCTTGTTTTTGTCCCTGATCCAAAAAGTCTTGGTCCACTCCAATCTCAAGTGTTTCTTCTGTTTTCAGAGTTTAGTGTGTTACATTTAAGACTGCAATCTATTTTGAGTTGATTTTTGTACGTATTGATAGGAGTCTAGTTTCATTCTTATGCATATGGATGTCCAATTTTCCCAGCACTGTTTACTGATGTCCTTTCTCCTGTGCATATCTTTTAGTTCTATGAAGAAAGTCATTGTTTTTTTTTTTTGGTACTGGGGATTGAACTCAGGACCTTGTGCTTGCAAGGCAGGTGGTGGAACCACTGAGCTAAATCCTCAGCCCATCACTGGTGTTTTGATAGGTATTGCATTGCTTTGGGTAGTAGAGACATTTTAGCAATGTTGGTTTTTCCAATCTAATTTTCATAGAAAGATCTTTCATCTTTGATTAAACTTACCCCTAGGTTTTTCATTTTTATGGCTTTTGTAAATGGTATTGCATCACTGATTTTTATTTTTAGTAATTTGTTATTGGTGTATGGCAACACGACTGATTTCTACATGTTGATTTTGTATCTTGCAAGTTTACTAAATGAATTTATAAGTTTAGTAGTTTTGTGGTGGAGTTTTGGGGGTTTTCTATATAAGACCATGTCAGTTGCAAACACTGACAGTTTGGTTTCTTTTTTTCCAATTTTGGATGCCTTTTATTTTATTCTCTTGCTGGATCTCTCTGGCTTGGGCTTCCAGCACTATGTTGAATAAAAGTGGTAAAAGTAGGCATCCTTTTTTTTTTTTTTCCAGATCTTAGACAGAAAGCATTTAGCTTATCCCTATTCAATATAATGCTAGCCATTGGCTTATTGTTAATGGCCTTTGCTATGTTTATCACGAAACGATGCTGAATTTATCAAATGCCTTTTCTGCAACTGTTGAGATAAGCATATAGATTTGACCTTTCTTCTGTTGATGTGCTATATCACATTTATTGAGTTGCTGATAACAAATAATCCTTACATCTGTGGGATGAATCCCACTTAATTATCATCTTAGTTACTTTGTTTGTTGCTGGGACAAAGTAGCTGACACTCACAGGTTAAAGGAGAAAAAGTCTATTTTGGCTCACAGTTTGTAAAGGTTTCAGTCCACAGTCAGCGGCACGGCAGAGGGGCATAGCAGAGGAGAAACAGTCTGTGACAGGGCAGGCAGAAGCAAGCAGCAGCATCTCTCTCTCTCCCTTTTATCCCATCCAGGCTACAAGCCTTTGGGGCTTTGGGTGATGCGAAGCACACTCAGTGTGGGCCTTCCCATTATCCACACCCAGAACTATGCTAAGCCAATCAATGGACTAATTCAGTCACCACATCCTTAATCTATATTTACACACTCTTAACCCCCATTCAAGAACCCTAGATCCAGCCAGCTCTGAAAAGCCCCACCTATGAGTGCCGAGGCTTTGGGGGCACTTCTAGATACAAGCCATAATAATTATGGTGAATGATATTTTTAATGTGCTGCTAGATTTGTTTGCTAATATTTTGTGAGGATTTTTGCATCTATTCTCATCAAGTACATTTGTGTATTTGTCTTTGGTTTTCTTTTTTGTTGTTGTTATATCTTTATCTGGTTTTGATGTCAAGGGGATATTGCTGGCCTTGTAGAATGTGTAGGGAAGAATTCCTTCCCCTTCTATACTTTTGGAATATTTTAAGGAGAATTGGTATTAGGTTTTTTAAATGTAAACATAATTCAGCATTGAAACCATTTGGTCCTAGGCTTTTCCACGATGGGAGACTTTATATGACTGATTCAATCTTGTTACGTTTTGCCATTTTATTTAGGCTACTTCTTTGATTCAGTAGATGTTTGTACCTAGGAATTTGTTTCTTTTAGGTTATCAGATTTATCGGGATATAGTTGATCACAACAATCTCTAATGATCCTTTGTATTTTTGTGGTTTCAGTTGTATTTTTCCCTTTTCATCTCTGATTTTTTTTTCTTTATCTTAGTCCAATTAACAGTTTCTCTAGTTTATTTTCTTGAAGAATCAGCTTTTAATTTTATTGACCATTTGTCTTTTTAAAAAAAATTATTTCTTTCTGCTCTGGTCTCTATTCTTTCCTTCTATTAATTTTGGATTTGGTATATTCTTTTTTTTTTTTTTTTGGTACCAGGGATGGAACTCGGGTCCTTAGGATTTGGTTTATTCTTTAGATTGATATTTTTCTTTGTGTGATGTAGGCATTGTTATAAACTTGTCTCTCATTACTGCCTTTTTGTATCCCATAGTTTTTGGAATATCATGTCTCCATTTTCATTTGTCTCAAGAAAGTTTTAAATTTCCTTCCTTTTTCTTTTAAAAAGTTCCTGGGCCCCAGCGGGGTCCCGGCTGCAGGGAACCTGACGATCCAGCCTGTGCCCCAGCAGCGATCCACTGGGACCCCCCGCCCACTCCTCTGGCCTTTGGGCTATACTGCCACCTGGTTCCACACTACAAAGACACAGAGGACACCAGACCACCATACTGGATAAGTTGGAGGGATCATCACCTCCCATCAGAACTGGGACTATCTTCAGGGGAAGGGCAGCTGCAACCTGAAGTACAGCCTTTCAGAGTTCAACCCTGTAGGAGGACAGGGAGCTCAACTCAGGAACTGAAGCTAGAAATCTGCCTGAATTTTACAGGTCTGCAACTGGCTTGCTGAGACATTGACTTATAACTGCACACTGCTGCCCATGTTGTCTATTGTGACAGCAGAGACATACCCTGAAGGAGGCCCTTCATTTTTATCTTTTGCTATTTTCAAAATTATTATTAGTATTAGTTTTTGCTCTAATTTTTAATTTTTATTTTTCTTTTCTTTTCAAATTTTTATCTCTTTGTTCTTTTTTTTCTCTTTTCTCTCTCTCTCACTCGCTCCCTTGCTGTCCCACATTGTTCTGCATCTCCCTTTGTGTTCCTGTTCTGGCCCTAATTCATATTTCCTCTTCATTATTCTTTTCTTCTCTTGCCTATGTTCTCTGGCCTCACTGCTAACCTTCCCTTATCCTTCTACCTACCTATTCCTCCTTCCTCAACTCTTTCTAACTCCCCATCCCAAAGGGTAAAGTTGTTATATTGAAGAGCTTATTCCCTATAAACATATGTTGGGTTGGTCCTCTAATTTGATTTAATTCACACAGTTAAAGGTGATAGATTAATAAAGACCACAAGGTGTCATTTTCTAAGCTGGGCTTGATGCTATGGTGTTGCTAAATGTATCACTTGGGCTAAGGTGCTGTGATTGATCTAATCAGTTGTCATTCCTGGTATAATGAAAATGAGATAGCCTCAGAGTTATTGGAGACTCAAAACCTAAAGATCAGTTATATCTGGAAGATACCTCTGAGAAGCACTCATTCCATAAGGGTTCTAACTACAAGCAAAAAAGATACTTACAATTAGAAACTTTGAAGTATCAACCCAGGAAATAAACCAAAGACAGTACCAGAAACAAAAATGAGAAGACAGTTAAACAAGGCACAAACTCAGACTTCCACCCCACAAAAGGCAAATTCTGGGGGAAACGAGGTGGAAAAGTCTGATAATCAACCACTTGGAGACCCTGAACTGATAGCACAGAAGTAAAAAAACAGATGAATGAGGCTCTAGAAAT